TGGTAGTAGTCAGCAAGACTTTTCTTACTTATTCTCAACACATAATAATAAAAATGTATGTAGTGGTCACGGAAGTTAGATTTGAGGTAAAGAGATATTGTTTTTATAACAATAAAACTAATATACAGAGTGCAAGTTGCAAAACTAGTCATTGAAGAATGAAATGCAGACCTACATATATATATATATATAGTGCAAGCAACTATGTTTATTGGCAAAAACAAACGATTCATACAGATCAGAAGTGTTCGTAGCAGCCACATCATATTCACAACTACAGACAGCTAATGCTAACAGCTAACGCTAATGCTAACAGCGAACGCTAATGCTAACACCACTTCACGGGGGAACTCTGGTGATATGGTCATTTAATGTTGTACATGTGGGGAACTAATAATTGACCGGAGTTTATGGATGGCAGAGGCTGGGCTAAGGCTTCGATGTTGTGTTGTCTGTTGTTGTTTCTCAAAGCTAACCCAAGGTAATGCGCAGTTATTGCCACAAAATGCGGCCGTATTTCTACAACAGCTGGGGAGTCTGCAGCAGCCTGAAAACTCCCTGTGCTTTTGAGTCTCCTCTCTCTCTCTCTGCTCCGCCCATAGACTGTAGCTGGGACTGCTGCGCAAGGCTACTGTGAGACTGGCCGCCTGTAAGTGCTTTGGGACGGGGGAGGGGCTCACGTTGAGGACAGCAGAACAATACGTGCTTCACGAGTCTCCAAAACACCAGATAAGTCGCCAATAACACCAGAAAAAGTCGCTAGATTTGTCGCTAGTCGCTTTTTTGAAAAAAAGTCGCTATAGGGGTCTGAAAAGTCGCTAAATCTAGCGACAAAGTCGCTAAGTTGGCAACACTGTGCAGACTGAACTTCAGCTCCACCACCACCACACATCCAAAGCTCCCCGGCCACTCCTACCACCGCCACCCCCCACTACCCCCCACTCCATCCGCGGCAGCTCTGTCCGTGACTCTGTTTTCTCTCAGTAGTGGGTCACATTAAATCATTTGTTATGCCAAACTATGAAAAAAAAAAAAAACTTACAAAAATAAACCTAAGTAACTCTGCCAGAGTGTGTCTTTTGGGTCACTTTGCCGGTCCCAAGCCCGGATAAAGGAGGAGGGTTGGTTGTAGAGCTAGCAATTTCACCCTACATAACAATCTTTTGATTACATTTGCTTTTATAACATTTAACAATACAGGACAAAACTGATGTGTGTAATGTGGATCTAGACAAAGCATTAAAATCATTAAATGTTGTTAATGTTGAAATTATTTTTGTACATTTGTAGTTCTAAACATATTTAGGGTGTTTTTACTCACTTTTGTCTCTCCCACGACCTTATTCCTCTCTCCTACAGCGTCCGTTACAGTTATTTGCAAATGGCAAATTATGCAAATTAGGCGATGACGTCATTTAGCGACTTCTAGCGACTTTTGGGACAGCCAATAGCTACTTTCCTTACTGAGGAGTTGGCAACACTGGTGCAGTGTGGGTATTGGGACTGGGCCATGCTGTCACAAAGCGCCACTGAGCACAACCATTCATTTGAATAGGGCGCCATCTTGGATCGCCGGGGCTTGGTTTAGGTACAAACACTCTATATAAGTGATGGCTATTGGAATATATCAATATTTAAGACGTATATTAACACCCAAAAATCGCTTACTGCTGCTTTAAGATAGAACGTGAATATAATGTATCCAATGCAAACACATGGAGGTTGTCAACTAAACCATTTGCTCAAGTTGCACTGTGACAAATAGTCCACTCACAATTAATTATATGCTATAATAAATAACATTATACATACAAACAGGCCCGTCCGAAGGGCTGTGCGACCTGTGCCGTCGCACAGGGCCTCGCACCACACAGGGGCCTCGCAATCTTCCTTCCTTTTATTTTATTTTATAAATACACTAGTTCAAGGGTCCCCAAAGGGCAGACTGCACTCCAAATTTGGAACCCTAAACCCCTTTCTCTGGACCTCTTTGATTTCGTTTGATCAAAAGAACATTTTTACAAGTAAAGTCAAATTTTCACCAAAAGCGATTTGTAAACAGGCAGGCGCGCGGGCAGCTATGTATGCAGCGGGTCCTCCGAAAAAACTGTCAGATAACTTTAGCAGTGTCTGAGTGAGATACAAAGAAAGTAACGGGAATGATCGCAGTGTAGGAGAGATGGATACTCGCGGAGGAGGAGCAGTGAGACAGGTGTGAGCAGAGGAGGAGGAGGAGCAGTGAGACAGGTGTGTGAGCAGAGGAGGAGGAGGAGGAGCAGCGGTGTGACAGGTGTGTGAGCAGAGGAGGAGGAGGAGGAGGAGCAGTGAGACAGGTGTGAGCAGAGGAGGAGGAGGAGGAGCAGTGAGACAGGTGTGAGCAGAGGAGGAGGAGGAGGAGCAGTGAGACAGGTGTGAGCAGAGGAGGAGGAGGAGGAGCAGCGAGACAGGTGTGAGCAGAGGAGGAGGAGGAGGAGCAGCGGTGTGACAGGTGTGTGAGCAGAGGAGGAGGAGCAGCGAGACAGGTGTGTGAGCAGAGGAGGAGGAGGAGCAGCGAGACAGGTGTGAGCAGAGGAGGAGGAGGAGCAGCGAGACAGGTGTGAGCAGAGGAGGAGGAGGAGCAGCGAGACAGGTGTGAGCAGAGGAGGAGGAGGAGGAGCAGCGGTGTGACAGGTGTGAGCAGAGGAGGAGGAGGAGGAGACAGGTGTGTGAGCGCTGCTATTGCCAATGTTTAGTCCGAATATCCACATCAAAAACATATTTTTAAAAGCATTAGCAAACACACTGTATGTCTAGCTTTAGCTAGCTGGAGTGTTTTTGTTGTGGTCAGAGTGTGTGGAGGAGGAGGTGAAGAGTATTTTGTTGTTGTCAGTGTGGAGGAGGAGGAGCGTATGTTGTCAGAGTGTGTGGAGGCATGGCAAAAACGTTATTTGATGAGAAAAAAATAATAATATTGACTCCGCCTCATAGCCATTTTGGCGCATTTTGCCAAAATCTAACTATTAGAAGAAAAAGACTCCTTTTGGTTCAATCTTTTGAGTTGCTCTGCCATTTTGCCACAGGACGAAAGAGACATGTCAGCTAAAAAGACCGCGACCAATATTGCAATACCAAGTGCCGTAGAGTGTGTGTGTGTGCGTGTGTACGTGCGCGCGCCAAACGCTGCATAGGAGCGAAGACACTCGGTTACGCGCGTGCTGATCTCGTCAAGCACCGCGCGAGGTGGTGCTGAATTCATGTCAAAGATTATAACAGGAAAAACTTTCCTCAGATCTGGGAAAAAAGTGTCAGGGCAGGGCCTCGCGTTTCGAGTTCGCACAGGGCCTCGCACCCCCCTTGTGACGGGCCTGCATACAAACGTTATACCAGAAAGACATTTTTGTGAATTGTACGTTGACTTATAATACATAGTTCCCACATGACGTCACTACATACGGGGATTTGCCGACCCGGCGCCATTTGTCTTGGCATTCTGTGGGCCAAAAAATAGAAAAAGAAGCTGAAACGTGTGATAAAGTTGAAAATGGTCGTCTCCTGCTGGGTCAATGGATGTTCTAATCGTGCCGGAGGTTCAGTTAAACTTGGATTTTACAGTATACCCATCATTAGACTTCATGAATGTGAGAAGACTAAGCTTTTGTCAGAACAACCACGGAGGTTATGGCTTGCGAAGATAAACAGGCAAGAAACTCCCTCAAAACACGCAAGAATATGCTCGGAGCACTTTGTGTCAGGTGCGTATCGTATCTTATAATGTGTTGACAGACGTAATTTACTCAGTACTAACTTGTGTATGCTGATATCTGGTAACTTGAGAGTTTCATTATTTAGATTACTTTATTATGAGGAGGATCGGTGTCGCGTCCGAGGCTCTCGAGGGCAACGTAAATGTATTAAATAGATAATAATAGTTCTATGGTGGGCTAAAACAATGTTCACAAACAGCATTGCTTCTGTAAAAAGATCTGTGTCATAAAATAAACTGCTCTTTACGCCTGGAAAAATCAGTTGCCCACCATTCACCAAAACATACGGTCAAAAACGCGGAAATAAACAATAACAGCAATCCAGAGTGTCCGTGTGGCATTAGCATTAATTAAATTAATTGTTAATATAATTAAAATAATTAAATGGAGCTCCAACTGGTATTAAATCTAAAGTTTTTGAGAAATGTTTGCATTGCTTGTTAATTTTTGCTGCATAATTTGATCAAATATGTAAAACATGTCCGTAGCACGTTAAACTGTGGTGCCATTGTATTAATATACAATTATTTGCTCAAAAGTTGCCCTTTTTTTCCAATTTGCGTTTGAATATCTACATTTATTCTCATTCTTCTGTTTAATGGAATGCACAAACACAGCAGCGTGCCATCAAAGATGGCGTCTCCGAGGAGGTCATGTGACATTCATTGGTCTGTGGGAACTATGTATAATCATTGTCCAAGAAGTAAATGTCATTACTCATTCGTCTAGGCAGGACAATTTGTTTGAAATACAAATGTTTATTTCTTCAATACGTTTCCCACAGACCTACAGGCAGAGCATATTGTAAAAAAAAAAATAAAAAATACACAAGCAGATCAGCTCTGCTCCAACAGTGCCATCTAGCGGCCATGTTGTACCTTGCATTCAGTTACAGTCTATGGGCAAAGCGCACGGATCACACGAACGATATCGCCGTCTATTTTCCCTGTTTTCTGTTCTTACATCTCGTTTGCAACCGGTTTTGCTGAAGTAATTTGTTATCGTTTCCCTTTTAAAATGGTTATATAAAAATTCAATAAATGATCGTCCTTACTTCCGGGTGTTTATGCTCGTTTCCGGTCACATGCCGATGATCACCTGACATCACGACGCTTCTCCTTTTGATGCTTCGCTGGCTGCCATCCTCCGTCGACGACTGAGGGGAATACACTATCACATAATCACACTTTTGTCGCCATAAAAGTGAGATTTTCGCCCTACACGTGCTGTCGGCGGAGCTGGGTTATCGGCGGATAGATGCTGCTGGAGTTGATGATGAACGGACACGCACTGTTGTATACGGGGGTCACTCTGGCCTTCTGGAGTACCATCCTAATCGTCGGTAAGTTTACGCTACGGGACATTTATGAATGAAATATACGTTATAATACATCATGCGTGCGCGTAGTTACTCGTCAACTGCATTGTTTTATCTCGTCACTCAGGATTGTTGGCCCCAGTTGGGTTTTGCACCTGGTTTACTGCATGCTAATCTGTGTTTTGCTTCTTGCTAGCATGCTGTACAAAATACAGAAAAGGTGAAAAGTGGAATTTATTATTAAACCACATAATACTTTCGATTGGATTTATTAAAATAGCACTATGGGAAAGTGTTAATTAATTATCAGTTCTTTTCAAAGATGTCAACAGTAATTAGCATTGGCCACTGTCATTAGAAAAGGCATTCTCCAATGACAGCTAGTCGCTTCGTTTTTGTTTCACCTTTATATAAAATCGCAGTTTAGGTCTACCTTAAATATAATAATATAGTGAAACTTACTGCACTTAGTCATTTTCTATCACGTGATGGGAGCTATCGCACCTAAGCTACAACTTGTCAAGGAATTTGCACACGGCAGCTACTAAGGCCATCCACCCAAACAGTCATTCAATCAAAATGAATGTTTACAACCAAACTCTTTAATGTCCAAAACTGCATTCTTTTTTTCATAGGTATCTGCTATACAATATTTGACCTGGGATTCAGATTTGACGTAGCATGGTACGTATCTCACCAATTCAATTCATCAACTTCAGACAACTTTCCCTGATTTCGCAAAACAAATCACTTCCCTTAAATCCTCATGTCATGATGTACAATTCTTCTATTAATTGTATGCATTAACATTGGCAGGAAAAATATATCTATTAGTTATAATAGCCTCTGTTTAGTCCCAATATGGTTGTAATTGATGAATCAAATAGTATCAATGAATATTCTGCCGTTTAACAATTTGGTGGCTCTTTCTCAGGTTCCTGACAGAGACTTCCCCTTACATGTGGGCAAACTTAGGCATTGGTCTTGCTATATCCCTGTCTGTGGTGGGAGCTGCCTGGTAAATGTTTACAGCTTAATCACCAAATGGCAGTGTTCTTCAATAACAATTAACCATTTTGTTTTATTTCAGGGGCATTTACATCACAGGCTCTAGCATCATTGGTGGAGGTGTCAAAGCACCGAGAATCAAAACTAAAAATTTAGTCAGGTTGGTTTATTGATATTTTAACATTGTCCAAACAAAACACATATTACAGTATTTTTTCTGAAGATCATGTTTTAACAACTATTACATATGTTATTTTTTGGCATAGCATCATCTTCTGTGAAGCTGTAGCAATTTATGGAATTATTATGGCTATTGTCATCAGCAACATGGCTGAGGTACTGTAACTTTTTATTTCTCTCATTTTACTCAAACAGTTGACATCCAAGGCTAATGTTGGTATATGCAAACAGAAAATGCATCATAAATTATATCTATCTTCATAATTAAATGTTTTGAGGAAGTGCCCCTTGAGATTTGTCATTTGGAAACTAAATGTTCAGACTGAGTCAGTACAAGCCAAGGATTGTATAACGGTGTATTTATGTCTCTGTTCTCAACTCTACAGCGCTTCAGTGGAACAACTCCAGACACCATTGGGTCAAAGAACTACCAAGCCGGTGAGTGTGTGTTTGTTAAAAGATAAGTCGACCTTTTCTGGAACAGGAATGGTTGGTGTCAAATGCTGAAGGATGAAACTATGGTAAACTTTAATATACTTAACTATGGCCCTCGAGAAGTAGATGGATAATTTTGAGAGTAGTCAGAAAATTCAGTGTTATTTAAATCTCAGGGAAATGTGCAGGACCCTTTTTTGTTTGATTGTTTCAATGCAAACTTTGGCTCAGTTTTGTAACGACACACTTAAAGTTTCTATGCAAATGACCTTCAAAACAACATGCAACATATCTTCAGTATTCTCTTTTTAGTTTACATTACACATACAATTTTGAATCACAGAGTCATTTCTGAATTCCCATTACTGTTCATGTTCACAGGGTACTCCATGTTTGGTGCTGGCCTGACCGTGGGCTTCTCAAACCTCTTCTGTGGGATCTGTGTGGGGATTGTGGGCAGTGGAGCCGCTTTAGCAGACGCACAAAACGGCAGTCTATTTGTCAAAATCCTCATTGTGGAAATCTTTGGCAGTGCTATCGGCCTGTTTGGGGTGATCGTAGCCATTCTGCAGGTGAGTGGTGCAAAAGATTTATATTTTCTTGTACTTGAGACTATAGTGGTGCTTTTTTTAGAGTTTAGAAGTTAAGTCAGTCTTAAGGGGCATTTGTGGTTCTTAGCATTACCCATGTGTTAGATTGTATTTAGTTAAAGCTGGATATCTAACTTTCAAAAACAACTCTGAAACAGTTGGGGTCATACCAGTGGGGGAGGGTCCCAGCTCAAAAGTGGCCAAAATGACGTGCGCTGACATGCTTGCAATACCACCCCGGGGCCGTTGGGGGTGGACCCAGAAGAAGAATTAGCCAATGCTAACATATAGCATTGGCAGACCTCTCAAAAACGTCTTTACAGGATGGACCAAAAGTTGGCTCTTGGCCCAAAGCTCCGTTCCACATGTGTGTCAATGCTTTAGGGGGGTGGTTTTTTTTTTGGTCCACTCTAGTTTACTCGCGGGGAATTTTTGAAGTCTCTCGTTCAAATTAATGGATTTGAACGAGGCCATCTTGGATTGCTCCATGAAAGCACTTTTCATGGCCAACTCCTATGAACGGCGGAGATAGGCGTGACTCTGTCCATTAATATATACAGTCTATGGTTCTATCACTAGTTTTCACATGTATGTATTTTCAGCCACATATTTAGATCAGCTTCTTCAGACAGAAAAGTATGAACAAAAGCCTCTCAGCTCAAAGCGTCAAGCAATAATAATAAAAAAAAGTAAACATTACTACGCTTTTAAAAGACACCTTGTGTTGGGACAAACAAAATGTATTATGTATGCAAGAAAAAAGTGTACCCCAGCTTTAAGTGCAATTATAAATCCAGTTCAAGTTTATTACAACAAGCAACAATAATCATGACCTGGCAAGCTTACGCATACTTCTGTCGTGCCATATGGGTCCGTTCTCTTCCCCTTTAAGTGACATCCATAAAGCGTAGTACTATAGAAGGATCTGCTTCACGGCAGATTGAGTTGGCAATCTGCAAAAAAAATTATATTTGCTGAAAGCAAAGATTCAAAAAAGAATAATGGGCGAGTAAAGTAAGTAAACAGTGTAGTGGTGTAGTGGTGGAGCAATGGTGTCTCATAACTAGGGCTGGGTAGCCCACACAAATTTAGTCTGCAGTACCACGGGCGCCCCCTGTGCCCGTGGGTGGGACAGCTATAAGCTAGTAATACCCTATCCAGTTATTATTATAGATCCATGGGCTCGATGAATATGTTCACAAGCACAGTGTCCCCCATTGTTAGTCCTGGTTTAATCCTGGTTTAGCTCCTGTTTTGGCTGCTTTCAAGTGGCTTGCGTCCCCGTGACGGCTCCGGATAAAGTTCATCTCTTGCTTTTGCCGAATGCATCGAGTCTCTGTACCCACTGCCTCTACCATAGCACATGCTATTCCTCGCACGGACATGCATAACTATTTACACGGCATTGAAAAACGATCTATAGATCCACTGACGCATGGTGCGGTTGTTGTTTTTACATTTCCCAGACTGTTTTGCGGTTCCTGCCCCGGCTGTGATAGGTCGAAAAGCCTCTGCCTACATCCCCCAGAATGCCGCGCGCTTATGACTCGGCTTTACTTCCTGTGTTTTCTTCCTGTTTTTTCTAACGGTGTGAAGTTGAACTATCGGACATTCTATCGCCCCGTTTTCTATTGATATCGAACACGTGTCTATCGCAATATATATCGTTATCGTTTGATTGCCCAGCCTTGCAGTAATTTTTTGTGTGTGTAAATAACAAACATATTTCCTTGTTATTATTGCACTGATGGTGTATAAACTGAATATTAACAGATGTGTTATTTTGTTGCAGACATCAAAAGTAAAGATGGGAGACTAAAAAACTTCTTGATCTGGAGAAGAAGTATTTGCTGGAAAACAAGATGGATTATTATTGTGTAAATACAACGTAAATTATTTAAGTGTCTCTGTTGGTCTGTTTTTAATTTTTCATTCACAACAAACGATCCCCATGAATTGATTCCCATGAATGTTTAAAGAGAAGACACTTCTCGCGCTGGAGAGCAGTGCTAGTTTAGAGTCTTGATCAATATGTGAATGATAAGTTAAAAACAAGAGTATTTGGACATATTGGCGTGTGAGTTTGTACGTATGCAACACATATCTTTCTTTTCTTTTCCCTCCACTGAAGCATGAGGCTGTCAAACGTGTTTACTTTAGCCTGGTCTGTCATTTATGTGTATTTCCTTTGATGCAAAAACCCAGTGGTCCTTAATCATCAAGTGTCCCAGTTACAACATTTGCCTGATGCAGCAGAATAAAGATTATTTAATGTTATTTTGAGAAAGGAAAATTGAGTCAGATCACAGCAGTACATCTGATCCAAATGCGTCATCTTGATCCAATTTGCATTATGTCTTGACATTCCAACTACCCAGATGTAAGATATGCATTTAAAATTATTCAGCAGATTCTTGACATACCTGCAATCGGTAAATAAAGGTTAAAAACAGAGAAAAAAAATACACAGACGCATTTGTAGTCGTCATACATGAAGTACCATCAGACTTCATGTATGTCCGTGTAATGTTTTTATGGTTGTTTGCTTTTAACAGTCTTATGTTCTCTGTACATTCCTAAATGTGTGAACACACTGGAGCTGTGTGTGGGTGATGTGCAATGCCGAACTCCTGTTCTTTCACGTGGCTAAAACTCGGGCCTCTAATGTTCACCTGGACACTTCATGCTGATAATCATTTTGGTTCTGTGTTTAAGGCTGTCATTTTATTAACCTTTGGCAGACTATGGCTGATTGTGAATTCATCTTTTTTGTTGATCCATTCTTTCTTAAGTAGATTAACTGACCGTGTGAAACAAATGTTTCTGAATATGTTCTATAACCTGGGCCTTAGAATATATTTGAAGGAGCAGACTGTACCAAACCCTCGGCTTATGGTGACTGTAGTTGGACCTGTGTGTATGTAAATGTTGATGTGATGGTGATCAGACAATAACCTTGTTTTTGACATTGTGAAAAACCACAATCTACGTGTACATGTTTGAAAGAAAATAAAAACAACAAAAGGAAATGTTTCTTTCTTTTTTTAAATGTATTGGTGCTACATTCTTTCAGGTTATAAACTAATATTTTTCTTTTTCTCAAGGTTTTAAAATTTTCTGTTTAGTCTACTCTATATCATTCAGAATATGGTGCCAACATGTGAAATCCAGATCTGTCAGACAACTAAAGTTAAGCAGGGCAGGGTCTGGTTAGTACTGTGATGGTAGACCTCTGGGAACACCAGGTGCCACAGTGGCACGGCTGTAAAGCGCTAAACTGTTGTGTCATTATGTAAGACACATTGCCTAGAATGAGACTGGTGAGTGTGAATGGTTGGTGGTGTTCGGAGGGGCAGATGACACACTTTGCTTCTGTCGGTGTGCCCCAGTGCAGTTCATCACCACAGTGAAGTGAGTGAATGAATAATGGAAGCATCTTTGATTGTCTAAAAACGCTACAAACGCTATTATTACGTTTCTGAGCAAGCACAATATCTGCTAAGTAATGTGTAAAGAATAATTTGGGCGCTGCTGATTAACAAAAAGACTCACCAGAATGTGATGCTTTTTTCTTCCACTTGATGGCGACAAACATCACAATGTAGAGCATTACCATGGATCTGTGATGAGTAGTGCACCTGTTCACTCTGATGGGGACCCATATGAATGTGTCCAACGAAAAATGTGTGTTTGATCTCGATTTCTAAAACAATGCAGGGGATAAACCAAAACACAACCTTAATGTTTATAAACAAAAACAAATATTGGTGCTTCTGAGATTAGTTTACGTATATTTGCGATATATCACACGTAATTCATTTATATTAGAACGATTACTTGTAAGAATGTGCTGCTTGAAACTATCTCTATTCACAGTCTTCGGGTTAACTGATATCGCACCAAAAGCGATTTGCGCTCATTCCAGGCTTCCGTAGGCAGCAGGAGCGAGGGACCAGCTCGCTGCCACAGCATCCTTCTCTTTGATTTTCTCATATCCTCCACCAAAACACAACGGACTGACGGAAAAACACGAGGATTGCATCGTTTCGCTTTCTGGATCGTTTTAAACAAATAATCTGGGATATGTTAGCCAAAGTCCACCGCTAAACCTCCCCAAAATGAGGCTCTTACCCGAAGAAGCAGACATAATAGCCTGTCTGTGAAAAGAATATAGTTATCTAGCGAACTGGGCTGAGCCTCTAGCTTTTTGCTTTTATCCAGAGACACTTTTTACATTTCTGACAACGTTTTCCTCACATTTACTGCGTTGTGGGCAGAAAATGTATTAAATGTATGTTTTTCGGCGGGTGCACGTCTAAACGCAAGAGGATGCTCGGATAGGAGAAAGTGCTCGCTTGACAACATCCGAGGTAGGTACCACCACACAGAACACTATTGCTTTCACTTTCTGCTGTCACTGTGCAGGGCTTTGAGCTTGTGTTTCGTCTCGTTGTTTATCACATTTGTTCAGTTTAATACAAAAGCGGTGTACTGTATGTATCGCAATGTTAGCAAGACTATTCTTTTCTACAGCAACAGCATGCATGCGTTATTCTGACCCGCCATAGTGGACCTCCTCTCCACAATGCACATCTGTTTTAACCATTATTTGAGAATTTCACAAACAATATTTGAGTTTGAATTAAAACATGTTAAGAATATAATGTAGACCTTCTGTGAACATGAGTATTACAGAGCAGTCGGCGTTCTTAGCCTGCTTGAACTAACCAGACATTTACGCAAAGATAGATTCAGAGCATAATCCAACATGACATTTTGCTCATTTATGACACATTATCCTTTAAGGGCTGGACACTAGCACTGCACTGCACTGTGGAGGGAGTGGGGAGTAGAATGGAGCTGGTGTTTTCTGTTTCCTTTGTGCTTTATTCAAGTTATGAAACATTTATGTATACTTGTTAAGAATTGGTATATACCATTTCTTATATTAGTCAATTTTGTGTTATTGGAATAGCATTTGTTTTCACCAGAAACAAGTAATACCATTGTTGTCATGTATGTCATACTATACTATACATAATTTTCTATCCAGAACAAATTGATTGCAAAGAGGTTATATATTTGAATAATTTATTGTCACCATATTAATTTTACGTCTGGTAAATTACGTCTGAATTACGTCTGATTTTACGTCTGATGCCATAACATCAGAGAACTCCATAGATTTAGCAGGATACAAGTCAATTGGAGGTCCCTATATTTCTGATATTTTGCAGTATCAGTGTAAACATATTCTGTGGAACAGCGTGTTCTTAGATTGTTGAATATTATCCATATTTAATTACAAAAAGTTACGCAAGTCAAGATTATATTTTTTAAAACTATTTTCCGTTCAGAGAAGCTGCTATTGTCATTATTGTTGGACCTCTTTCTAAATCCATATAAATCCATACATGGTCCATATAAACAAACTTATCAGATGCCTTTAATCTCAAATTCAGCTTCAATAGTTTTTCGTCCGAGCGAGAACGGAGCAACGCACCTTGACTTCTTTCATGAATGGCCATTTTCTTCAACACCATTGTGTACATACTACTTTTATGCCAGGATCTGATTTTTTCATATAAAAAATTAAATCTTATCTTAAGGAACGTGAGCTGGGTTTAGACCGCCGTGAGACAGGTTAGTTTTACCCCACTGATGATGTGATGTTGCAATGATAATCGTAAAAGTATCCTTGTTGAACGAATAAATAAAATCTTATCCGTTCAACAAGGATACTTAATATATTTCTCTTCGTCAACAACAATTTATATGGGCAAATTGTGTGAGATCATACGTCTTTAGAATCAACTAAACTATTCAGGAATAAAATATTACATCATAGATCTAGACACTTGAGTCAATCTGTCAATCTTTACTGACTGGCTTTTTAATATTTTGGTCTGATATTAGCCCTCCATAGGTAAAAAACAAAACCAATTAGATAACCCTAACCCTAACCCTAACCAAAACAATCCGTGTACCTGTGCTAAGCCCTGATTCTAGCTTTGGCCTAGTTATTATGTCTGAATTATGATTTATAAGAAGCAGATACATTTGTCGATTAACCTAATTGCAAGTGATGATTAGAAATGTGTTTGTGATGAAGTAAATGGTGTTTATATTAGGGAAATGTTGGACCAAATGAATACAAGCTGTGTTAATTACTTATGATGTCTGTCTTATTTTCCTTTATGATTACTCATGCACAAGTTTTGTTGCTATGATTAGGACTTTTTGATTGTTTAATGCAATAATAATTGGCATTAAACAGGATTTGAATCACAAAATCTTCATGTGACTCAGTGGTTTCTGTATATGGTTTTTCCTTGTAAAATGTACAGTTATTTTGATAATAATAACAAAAAAGACGTATTTTGTTTATATTATGTTGTTAGTAATTTTTTTTTAGTATATGCATGTCGCTTTATTTGAAATGACTAAATAAGTAACACACCAGGTCTGGATTATAAATGCAGATTTACTGATTTGCTTATTCTGGCCGTGTCCTTTACTGTTATTACCAAATACAACCGAACACAACCAGAACATAACCAGTTGTAGGAAATGACATCACAACAGGAAAGCCCTTTGTGTGACTCATGTCCATAAAACGCGCTTGTTACGGCCCTAGGCCTGTATATGGCTCTTGTTTTGTATTTTGTGTCTTTTTGTGTACGTGCGGCAACCCCTCCTGTCTGAAGATCCCTGGCCTGTCTTTGGACAATCACTGGCCCTCCCACCTCCCAGAAGTTTGTGACTCAGGTGCTGGCCCAGTCAGCTTCCCCACCTGGAGTCACTCCCCTTAAGGCCACA